CTGCCCCAGTTACATCCCCATGTCTGATGAAGACAAACAGAGCCCATCTCTATGTCTCCCTGGCAGGGTGGCCCCAGGAGATCTGGGCAGAACAGAGGGCCTTGGGGTTGTTTTTGTGCACTTGGACCAAGTTGTCCAGGCAGGATTTGTGGGGGCAGCTACTGGTACCCAGCAGAGCACTCTGGAGATAAGGATGTCCGGGGGAAGGTGGCATGTGGGACCTCCACAAGGTTATGCCAGTCCCAGGAGGATTCTTCCAGAGGTTCCCAGCACTTCTGAGAGGGATCACAGCCCACTCAGGAGCAGAGTCTGGTGCCCATGGCCAGGATGCAGCCCCATCTCACAGGGTACAGAGATGAGCAGTGTCTGTGGGGATCCTGACTGGGTGGATGCTTGGTTTGTGCCTTCGGTGGTGGGGGACTCACTTCACCAGGACCACTGTAGTCCTGGGCTTGTTCCCAGGAGCCATCCTAGAGCACACACTGGGCTTGAGCTTTGCCAGCCCCTGGGAAGCCCCCTGTCCCAGTGGTGGCCGCTTCCCCGCGTTACAGTTTGGGTTTGCATCTGCTCCTGGCCGGAGACAGGGAGCCCGTGGGATGAGTGGCAGGGTCGGGGCTGTGAGCCCCCCCAAGGAGCTGGCTGTGAGTGTCCGCCTGTGCCGTGCCCTGCCCTTCCTCAGGGATACTCCGCGGGGTAAATAAGCACTTCCTCCAATTCTTCCCATTCGCAGCTCCTTCCCTTTCCTGCTGCCCTCCCACTTGGCCCAAGGAGCCAGCAGCCTCCCCTGGCCGCAGGGGCGGATATCAGCGCCGTGTCCCTGGTGCCATGGGGCTGAGAGCACCCAGCACCCATCCACCCCGAACTGCCGAGAGCACCCAGCACCCAAACAACCAAACCATCATTCCCTGTTCCCGTGGGGGCTGTGGGGCTGTGACCTTATGGCTGAGACTTTCTCTCCGGGTGAGTCACGGGAGCCCGGATGCCATTCACTGACTCATCTGACTCCCAAAAGCCCCCGATCCCTCTCCTTGCCCAGCACGGGAAGGCACCGGGGGTGTCCTGCCTTCCTGGAGGAGAGGCAGAGAGGGGAGAGGTCAGGGAAGAGGCGGCTCTCAGGCTCCTTGTGACCAAGGCGTGATGGCTTCGGTCCCCGGATGCTCCCATCCTCTGTGCTGAGGAGGATGAGGCGTGATGGGAGGGAAGAGCAGCTCCAGCCCACGCTGGGAGCCGGCCAAGGGCCGTGCCGGGGCCGGAAGGGGCCGCCGGGGGCCGGGGTACGTGCCTGGGCTGGGGCAGCGGGGCCGCAGCTGTGCAAACACGGACGCAGCGCTGCTCCCGGGGGAGCCGAGCCAGCGGGCTGCGTTCACAGGCTCCCGAGGTCACCCCCGCCGTGCGCCCAGGTGTCACCCAGAGGTGCTGGGACAGGATCCCCCCACTTGGCCCAGACACCACGGGCAGGCTGGATGGTCCTGTGGCCATCGTGGCCTCCCCCACTGAGGGACAATGTGCCCTGCTGTGCCCCGGGGATGTCCGGAGTGCCATCAGTGCAGGGACCACAGCCCACCCCCCTTGGGTGCCCTGGGTGCTGCTCCTTGGTCCTGGGAGTCTTCCCCGAGGTGAGGATGCTGGAGCCTGCTGGGTTGGTCACCCTGGGCATTGGTGGCCTTCAGTGAGTGGCATCCCTGGAAGTGCTGGTCAGAGCACCCCCAGTTCCAGGGCTGCAGGGCTGGGGACTCAGGGGGAGCCAGTTTGGGGCGTCTCCGACCAGGGCAGTGTTGATAAACCCGCCGGAGCGACCTGAGGCTGGTGTCTGAGTGTCGGAAACAGAAACCAGCTGGGACCAACCCAGCCGGTCGGACTGCCCCCTCCGCTGCTCAGACCAGCATTCTTGGGATCCCAATCATCTCCAGAGCACCGGGCGTCGAGAAAGGAGCCGGCAGCCGGGCTGGAGAGCCCCGGGGTGGGCTCCAGCACCCCGTGCTGTGCTGCTTGTTCAGCTGCTCGCTGCCCTTCTGGCCGCTGCCCACGGGCGGTGCTGGCCAAGGACGGACAGAGGGACACACTCCCAGGATTGTGTTTCCTGCGCTGGGAGATCTGGAGGCAGTCTGTGGCACGGAAAAGGTGAACAGCTTGGTCGGGAGGCAGGTTTGTTGGCGCTGAGCCCTAACGAAGGGCAGGGGGCGGTGGGGCTTGCTGGGACTGAACCTTTGGGGCAGGACCTTTTCTGCTCAGGAGAGAGAAAGGATGTGCTTGGGGCTTTAGCCCATGGCAGGGACATGAGTGTGCCGGTGCTCTGCTGGTGCCAGCCTCATGGTAAGCCTGGCACGGGGCTCACCAGTCTGGGTGAGATACGGTGCCCAGTGGTCCCTTCCAAGCATGCCCCGGGCTCTGCTCCCTGCGGGGGCTGGCTGTGCTGCTGGTACCAGGTACCTCTTATCTCGGTAATGTCAGGAATGCACTATGCTGGGGATTTTTCCTCCTCTGTGAGCCAAGCCTGAGAGTGCCAGGAACAGAGACCCCACATCGTGCCTGCCCTGCCTCTTGCAGGGAGTGCTGCCCTTCAGCACCCGGCTGGGTGTGGTGCTGGGCTGGAGCATCCTTGGGGCTCCTGGAGCATCCTTGGGGCTCCTGGAGCATCACTCCTGCAGAGCAGGGCTATGGTGTCCCCCTCCCCTGAGGGGGCTTGGGGTCCTGGCGCAGGATCTTGGTTGCAGGGTGCCAGGTCTGGGGATGCAGGGTGCCATGGTGCATCGTGGTGGATGTTTGGGGGAGAGCTGGGTCCAGGACTGGAGTGCAGGGATGTGGTCCTGTCTGCAGCCACTGCTCCCTGTGCTAGTGAGGGAGCCTCCAGTGCTTTGGAGCAGGACCCAGCACGGCACAAGTGTCTGCTGGAGCCTCTGGGGTGCCTGGGGAGGTGGCTGCAGTTTGCTCTGAGTTGTGCTGGGGCATCAGTCCCCTCCAGCACATGCAGCATCCTTTTCCCCCTCCTGAATCCTTCTCCCCTTGATGCTCTCAGCATCTTTCTGACAACCTCAGCATCCTTCCCCAGTTCAGGCTTCTGCCTGGGAAACACTCCTTAGAGGTCCCTCTGTGCTCCAAAGTGGCAATGTGGGCTGGAGAAAGATGGGTTGGCAAGACTGTCCTCACCCTGAACTGTGACCTGCCCCACACATGAGAGCCTTGTCCTGTGGGTGGTGGGTGGCTGAGCCACTGTAGCACGGGAGCCACAGGCCCTCCTCGCTCAGTGGGGAGCAGATTAAAGAGCCCTGCAGAGGGTAATCTGCCCAGGCCTGCAGGTCAGCCGGGCTGCCAGGGATTACAGCTCTTGGTAATGAGCTTAATTGGGACAGTGTTGTCCTGGAAAATGGAGGGACTGGCACCCAGATAACGCTGTGTCCGTGGGACCCGAGTGGCTCCGTGGTGTGGGCTGGGACACGAGTCCCAAGGGGGAACCAGATGGACCTGCTGCCTCCTGGCTCCACTGGGATAGAGGTGAGTGGTGCTGGTGGTTAGCTCTGACTGCAGATGGCTCCGGCACATCCTGGGTGCTGCAAATCCCTGGCCCCAGCCTGGTGTGCGGGGTGGTGAGGGACACAGTGCTGGGGGGATGCCTGCCTGTGGCTGAGTGGGTGTGAGCCGTGTGGGACCAGGCTGAGCTGGGCTCCTGGGCATGGAGAAGGAGTGGGGATAGGATGGGGGTGGGATGGGGTGGGGGTGGAAGCCCCAGCAGTGCCTGTGTCCCTGCGCTGTTCACTGTCGGCCATGCTGGAGACAGGAGGAGAGGCAAAGTGAGCTCCTTAGGATGGAGGGAGGTGGCTCTGGAAAGGCAAAGTGAGCTCCTTAGGATGGAGAGAGGTGGCTCTGGCTCAGTCTGTCAGCCAGGGAAGCTGTGCATCCCTGGGGTCCTGCCTGGCTGTCCCTGGTGGTGTGTGACTGCTGGGCACCGTGTGGGCTCATCCCCAGCAGCTGCCACAGCTCTGCTCAGGGCTGGCTGGAGCAGAGGGATTGACCTGCCATCAGTGGTGGCCAGAATGAAGTGGAGCATCCTGCGTCCTGCTTCTCCGTGCTGCCCTGTAGGCTGGGCTCCTTCCTGTGCACAGCTGCCATTGCTGGGGTTGGCAGGGCCAGGAGCCCTGTTCTCCCCTGCTCTTGCCTTGTCCTTTGGGCTGCCCTCCCCAAGGCCCAGCCCTGACCAGGGCTACAGGGATGGTTCCTGTGATGCAGACTGGCAGCCAGGTGCAGACCCAGAAAACTGCTCTATCCCTGACTGGCATCAACTGCATTGGCTGTGGTGGGGACAGGCAGCTCATGGTTTCAAGGTTCCTGGCGCTGTCACTGCCACGAGCAGAGGACAGGGTGCAGCAGCCTTGGGGCTGGACATGTGTGGCCTGCACAGACTTTCCAGGGTCTGGCAGGGAATGGCTTGGCCTTTTCTTCCCCCACACAGAGCTCCTGGCAAAGCTGGGAACTTTCCCAAGTGCTTTGTTGTCCTTGGGTTTCCCTCCTGGTTGCTGGAGTGAGAGGAAGCAAGTGAGGAGTCAGCGAAGGGCTGGGCAGCTGAGTCCAGCCCTGTGCCTTTCCTGCCCCTGCACAGGGTGGCACGGGTGACAACGGACATAGAAGAAGGTGGGGTTCAGGAGGAGGTGTCTGGGCTTGGGCATTGTGTAGAGTTTGCCATGGATGTATCTGGGAAAGGCCAGGCCATGGTAGGCACCAGGTATCAGCCCCTTTCTGTAACTCCCACAGGGCCAACCTGGGACATGTCTGGGTGTGCCCACTGAGAGCTCCCAGTGCCCAGAGCCCCACTTCACCAAGGGCAGTATCTCTGGGGACAGCATGGGATCTGTGTCCCAGTGCTACCAGGAGCATTCTTGGACTGAGAGAGGGGAAAATCTCCCATCCCATGGTCCGTGGGTGCTATTCTCACTGCTGATGGCAGTCCTGCCTGCATGTGTGTCCTCACCGTGCTGCTGGTGACCCTGATGTGTCATTGTCCCCAGGGCGGCCCTCCAGGTCACACTCAACGATGTCACTGTCTGTGCGCCCGCAGCGCCGAGTCCTCGTCACCAAGATCAATAGGAGCCAGTCCTTCGCCGGAGTGAACTCATCGGCCGACCGGCCCTTCAGGTACGAGATGGCTGCTCATGCTGCCTGCCACGGGCAATGGGGACAGGCTGGGACTCTGTGGGGACCTGCTGTGCATCCTGAGGCTCTTTTCCATCCAGCTGTCCCAGCATCTCCCTCAGGGATCTTTTTGGTAGCCAGGGGTTGTTGCACAGGGGGTGCAGGGAACACTGAGGCCATGTGAGACATCCCAACCTTCTGCCATGCCATGCCCCAGCTGGGATGAGGACCCTGCAGCCCTGTGGCTGCTGCCACGAGAGCATAAGAGAGAAGGCAGGTGTAGCTCACCTCATTCTTCAACCAGCTCCTAAGACCTTCCCTGTGACCACCTCATATTGTTTAATGGGTGCGGTAGAGCTGGGGTGGCTTTGAAGTGTCTTGATGGCCTTGACATCCTGCGGCAGCCGGTTTCGGGGCTGAGAGCTGGTGTGAATCAGGGTTTCCTCAGGGTCACCTCAAACCTATTGTTTGAAAGGTTTTACCAGCTGCCTGCCAGCTGCAGTGTGAGGAGCAGCTGTTGCCTGCTCCATCCTCTCCATCCACTGGTTATGTTATGGCCCCTTCATACCCTTCCTCGTCCTCTCTGGTGAGCATCCCCACGTGCTGCACTTCCCCACCAACCCTTTCTGCACCATCCCTAGCTCCTGGCTACCGTGTTGCAGGTAATTCTTGGGTAGCAGGCAGAGCCTCCCTGTGCTCTGACCTCCCACCCTACTCAACTCTGTCCCCAAGTCCTGTGCAGCCTCTGGGCCAAGTGACACTTTCCAGGTCACCAGCACATCGCTGGTGATTTGTGGGTACCAGAGGGGGTCCCTAGAGACAGAGAAGAGTGAGGACTTTTAGATGCCTGCAACCCAGTGGTTGCCGGGGAGATGCTTGTGGGAGATGCCTCCAGGGACCTTGGAGGATGGGAAGGAGAAGGAATGGTGGAAATTAGGTGTTTACCCATCTCTTGGGAAGAGGCCAAGACAGTAATTTCCGCACCCATGATTCGGGGAAGTCTTTTGGTCACTTCTTTGAAGAGCAGCACAGGATGGGAGGTACAGGCTGGGAAATGAGGAGCCCATGGTGTCTCGACGATGCTTGGGAAGGAGGAAGGGAAGAGCTGGTCTGAGTGAGGCGTTGCTGGGCTGGGGAGTGACTCCATTGCACAAGGCAGGAAGGGTGGTGTTCACTCCCAGCGCTGGGTCGGCGTCCGCGGGTCGGCTGGGGGAGGCAGCTCCATCCAGCAGGTTTGGTAACATCTGGAGAGGCACAGCATCAGTGAGCGTGTCCCTGCCCCATGTGGCTGTGCTGGGTGATGAGGTGACAGGGCTTCTGGTCCCCAGGATGCTCCCATGATGGACTGGGATCCTTGCCTGACCCTGGAAGCATAGGGCATATTTCACCCTCCCAGAGGGAGCACCTCTCTGCCCCTGGCAATCTAGGTGCTGGGATGGAGCCAACCATGCCCCCTTTAGAGGACACCCAGGACTGGAGATGTCCCCATGGACCCTCCAGGAATTCAGTTTGATTCCAGGTGGTGCCTGCCTTTGCCTTGTCTCCCTCCAGCTGGCACCAGGGACCTAGTGGACTATCTGGCCTCCATGCCAGAGATCACCCTTTTCTAGAGACAGTGCCTGGCTGGCTGGAGCACCCAGAAGGACCCTGGTGCTGTGTGCTGATCCCAGCCTCTCTCCCCAGGAATCTCTCACCTTTCACCCCCACTGTCTCCCGCAAGACTGGCTCCAGGGTCAGTAGGATGTTCTCAATGTCCCACAAATCCCCACCACCCAAGGTGCCTCAGCCCAACCGCCTGGACGAGGTGTACGAAGCTCTCAAGAAGGGCCTGACGTAAGTGCTGGGTGGGTGGAGGCTGAGAGCTGCTGAGGGGCATGGGGACAGCTTGTGACATGGCTTGGGGTTGGCAGCTCTCTGCTCCCACCAGACAGGGACATGGCAGGTCTCTTGGGCACGTTGCCTTGGTGTCCCAGATTGTGTGGCGTCCCACATCCCATGCAGAGGCATATATGGGTTCCCACACCTGTGTGCTGGAACAGGGAGTGGGGATGTGCTGCCACGTGTGCGGGGTTGGTGTGGGCTGTGGGGAGCAGGAGCCCTGGACACAGCATCCCAACCTGACCCCCATGGTGTGGTTGCCCCCAGAGCCTACCTGGAGGTGCACCAGCTGGAACTGGAGAAGCTCAGCACGCAGATCCGTGAGTCCAAGAGGAATTCACGCCTGGTGAGTACCACTTAGGGAGAGCCTTATGGGGAATGATGCTTTGGGTAAACAGCTGGGCTTGTGGGCACAGCTGGGACAACTCGTGGTCCATCTGTGCCTGGGGCAGAGCCCATTTCTGTGGGGTTGTAGGGGCCAGCCCAGGCTCTGGTGTTGGGGCTCCCATCCCTGTGTCATGCACTCTCCAGCCCTGGCTGGATGCTGCATGTCCCACTGCCATGCTATGGGTGGTGGGTATCATTTGCTGGGTCTTCTTTGGGTGGGCAGAGCTGGCTTTGTGCTACATCTTATCCCTCTCATCTTTCCTCCAGGGCTTTCTCTACGATCTGGATAAGGTAAGCGGGATTAGTGTCTCATTCCCCTTGAATTCCCCTTCCTTGTGCCTGGGATGTGCTACTGCCAGCCCTGCTCTGCTAGCACTGCTCTGCTGCCTTGTCCCCTGGGAAGGAGAGGGTCTGGGGCTCTGCAGGCAGGGTGGCCCAGGTGGGCAGGGGATGAAGCAGAGATGATCTTGTAACCCCTTTCAGGCAAACAGAAGCTGTTGTTAGTGAGTGCAGGGCATGGGTTAGCTCACAGGCTGGGAAAAAAGCAGCCTGGAGCCTGGCTTGGCTCCTGGAGGACCTTCTGGCGCATGGGTCTGGAGAAGGCTGCAGCACATGGGTGCTTCCCACTGGCTGCCACCCTGCAGCTCTCAGGCAGGACCCCAAGCCTCGGTGCAGGGACTGCAGAGGCCACATTGTGACCTGTGGCTCCTCTGTGGAGGGGCTGCACTGCTGCTCACACCATCTCCTCTGCTTTTCCAGCAAGTGAAGTCAATTGAGCGCTTCCTGCGTCGCCTGGAGTTTCATGCCAGCAAGGTGAGAGCTGGGGCAGTGCTGGGGTGGCCGTGCTGTCCCCAGCCCTGCCCCTCACTGCAGCTTGTCCTTGCAGATAGATGAGCTGTATGAGGCTTACTGCATCCAGCGGCGGCTCCGTGATGGAGCCCACAACATGGTCAAGGCTTACAGCACCGGCTCGCCGGGCAGCCGGGAGGCACGCGAGAGCCTGGCCGAGGCCAGCAAGGGCTACAAGGAGTACACAGAGGTGAGGCAGCTGGCTGGCTGGGCTGGCAGGGTGCTGAGTCCATAGCTGGCTGCTCATAGGTCCTGTCCATCCGTCTGTCTGTTCCCAGAACATGTGTCTGTTGGAGAATGAGCTGGAGAGCCAGCTGGGCGAGTTCCACATCCGGATGAAAGGTACCCTGTCCTGCTCCATCCCTGTCCTGCTGCCTGCCTGCCTGCCTGCTGCCTGCTGACGCCCCTCTGCCTTCTCTTGCAGGATTGGCAGGCTTTGCCCGGCTTTGTGCTGGTGACCAGTATGAGGTTGGTGGGACCATATGGGTTGGGTTCTGCTCTTCCTCTGCCCTCTTGTCCTTAGGGTGTCTGAGGGGTGTAGGTGGGTGCTGGCGTGGAGGGTGTGTTGCAGGGTGGTGGTGGTGGTTGGCATGAGTCCATGGCCATGCCTAGGGACATACAGAGAGCACCCTGGGGTCATGTCTCCCCCATACCCATACCTCTGCATCCCCAGATCTTCATGAAGTATGGACGGCAGCGGTGGAAGCTGCGGGGGCGCATCGAGGTGAACAGCAAGCAGGTGTGGGACAGCGAGGAAATGGTTTTCTTGCCCCTCGTCACTGAGTTCCTCTCCATCAAGGTATAGTGCATAAAAGGACAGGGATGGGGTGGGACAGCTATTTCCCTGCATCATAGAGTCATTTAGGTCAGAAAAGACCTCTGTGATCATCAAGTCCAACTGTTAACCTAGAACTGCCAACCCCATCATTAAACTGTGTCCCCAAGTGCCACATCCACATGTTTTTTGAACATTTTCAGGGATGATGATTCCAACAGTTCCCAGGGCTTACTTCCAGCACCTCACCTAAACATCACCCTCACTGGCCCATGGTTTCATTTGCTCCTTCCTCTCCTCCTCCAGGTGACGGAGCTAAAGAGCCTGGCAAACCATGTTGTGGTGGGCAATGTGTCCTGTGAGACCAAGGACCTCTTTGCAGCTCTGCCCCAGGTAGTGGCTGTGGATATCAACGACCTGGGCACGCTCAAACTCAGCCTGGAGGTGACCTGGAAGTGAGTACCTCAGCAGGCACTGCTGGTGGCAGATGGCAATGCAGGGGTTATGACTCACCCTAGTCTGTCTCCCATCCCAAAACCGGGCTGTAATTATAGAAAACCAGAGCCAGTCTGGAGCGGGTCCTGGTGTCTTGAGATCCCCTGGACTGGTGCAAACCCCTCACCTCCCTGCTGTCCTCCCCAGCCCCTTCGACAAGGACGACCAGCCCTCAGCAGCCAGCTCTGTCAACAAGGCTTCCACGGTGAACAAGAGGTTCTCCACCTACAACCAGAGTCCGCCTGACACACCGTCCCTGCGGGAACAGGCATTCTATGTAAGTGTGCACCAGGCAGGGCTGCTCAGGAGACATGGCCAGTGGAGGGGTCCACACAGGGATGTGCCTAGGCAACGTCTGAGAGGGTGGCACAGCTCAGGGAAGGGTAGGCAGCTCCTTCCTCTCCAGCCATCCCACCAGGACTCCCCAGTACCTGCACCTGCTCCTCCCTCCCACGTTCACAGCTCCTCTTCTCTCTGCCCAAGAGCCCGGAGCGGGCAGCTGACAAGTGTGGTTGGTCCTTGCTGGACATCTTTCGGGAGACACTCTTCGAGAAGCTGTCTCAGAGCTGCTCCTGCGGCGATGTCTCCTCGGCCGAGCTCGGGAGATGGCCGCAGCAGGGCCGCGTAAGTGCAGGGCTGGAGCAGGCCAGTAGCTTAGCCCAGCGCTGTGGCCAGCCCACTGTAGCTGTAGCCGGTCCTTGTCTCCTACTCACTGTCCCTCGCTGATGCCCGAAGGCCTGATTCTGCCAGGCTGGGTCTGGCTGGTCCTGCAGAGCTGGTCCCCGACCTAGGGGAGCCTGGGTTCACCCCCGTGCAAGAGTTGGGCTCTAGTGAGTAGGCAGCTTCTCTGTGTCCCCGTGCTGGTGGCATTGGTGTGGTACTGGTGATGGTGCTGGTGAAATGGTAATGGTGTAACAGTGCTGCTGTGGTGCTGGTGTGATGCTGTCATGGTACTGGTGTGCCTAACGTGGAGTTGGCTTGGTATCGGTTCAGTGATGGTGAGCCACAAAATTGGTGGTGGCCAGTGCTGTCCCCAGCTGGTGCTGGAGCTGTTGTTGTCCTTGCAGCCATGGTGGTTGGCGTCCTTGGCTCCATGTGTTGCATCCCACTGTGCTGAGGGAATCCCAGCACCCTAAGGCTCCAGGACATATGGGGCTGTTCATGGGGAGCTGGATTGCCTGCTGGCACTGGGTGGGATCCAGAGCTGGAAGCTGCCAGGTGTTTGCTGGCCATTCTGCTGTGTCAGCAGAGCCATGGTAGCCTCAGTGCCCTCCAGCTCAGATCGATCCTGCCCCTGCTTGACATGCGGACAGCTGGAGGACATGGGGCAGCAGGAGCAGGGTCTCAGCTGACACCATTTTCCCCCCTCTAGAATATGCTGCGGCGCCAAGAGGAGCTGGAGAATGGCACAGCCTGGTCCATCTCCTCAGAGTCCTCAGATGACTCCTCCAGCCCCCAGCTGTCCAGCAGTGCCCGCCATGCCACACACAAGCCCATCGTGCAGCCTGAGGTGCAGGCCTCCGCCCCTGCCATCGAGATCTCCTTCTCCCAGCAACCAGAGGAGGCTGACGCCGTGCTTGGGGCCAGTGGCAGCAGTGTCCCCTCTGCCGGGAGCCAGCCGGAGGAGCCAAGCAGCCGTAAGAAGGACACAGTGGCCAACGGGCATGTGCCCTACTCCCGGACTCTGAGCCACATCAGCGAGGCCAGTGTGGATGCCACAATGGAGGTCAAGACTGTGGAGAGCCCTTGGGAGCCTGCGCCCAGCACGGAGGACACAGGGATGGGCAAGCAAGATGCACACTCTCTACCTGGTGCTGCCGTGGCAGCTGCTGTGGCAAGGCAGGACAGGGCCACTGAGGCCAAGCCTCGTGCCTCCGTGGCATGGGCCACCTCCTGCGAGGAGGAGGCTGGCAGTGCAGAGCCAGCGCAGAGCCAGGCACCAGCACAGAGTGACTATGGCACCGGGACCCCCACAGCACTGGCACAAGCCTCTGCAGAAGAGAGGCCCACCCCAACCCCACCACTGCCCACCAGCACCCCTGAGGTGCCACGGGGGAAGATGGTGGATTCAGGTCTGGAGGAGGCAATTGGCCTCCTGGGCTCAGCTCTGGATGACTATCGGGGACAGTTCCCGGAGCTGCAGCCCCTCGAACGGGAGCTCAAACGTCTGGAGGAGATGCTGCTGGTGAGGGGCTCCCAGGGGTGTCATGGGGTGAGGGTGCCAGGGTCATCCTGGCTGGCAGTGCCTGGGGATGATGGGGACAGGGCCAGCCATGGTGGCAGTGCTCAGAGGCAATGGAGACAATACCATCCCTGCTGACAGTGCCCAGGGGTGATAGGGATGGGGCCAACCCTGCTGGCAGTGTCCCTGGGTGGTGGGGATGGGGCCATCCATGATGGCATAGCCTGGTAATGCAGGTGGCACGGCTGTCTTGGCTGGTGAGCCAGGATCCATCTCCACCATGCCTTCCTCCACAGCACAAGCAAGGCGTCTTCCTCAGCCGGGCCTCCAGCATCAGCCTGACAGTGGAGCATGCACTGGAGAGCTTCAGCTTCCTCAACACCTCTGACATGGAGGACTCAGAAGGCTCTGAGGAGGAGCCTCTCCAAGATGAGAGGTGCACAGTGGGGCTCATAGCATGGGGCACAGGGCAGGAGATGGCACCTGGGGCAATTGGAATGGGGGATGTTCAAGGGTGCCCAAGCATATTTATATCTGTTCATCACAGCTTAAGGGAAGGTCTAGGTCAAGAACCAGCAGTACCTGGTCCTTCTGGTGGCATAATGTCACCCTGCAGCTCTCCATGAGGAGTGGGCTGGAGGCAGTCCTTGTGCCCCTGGGACTTGTCCTCTGCCCTGTGAGTGGGGAAGGGCCAGGTGCAGGTGTCCTGTGCTGATCCACTGCCTTGATCTCTCCCTGGCTTGCAGGAGGGCTGGCAGACCCCTGCGCAGCACCAGAGCCCCCAGCGCTGGCGAGATGGGGGCAGATGACACCGGAATGTGCAGTGGTTCTGAGGCCAGCACTGACCCCATGAGCACTGGCAATGAGTTCCTGGATAAGGCTCTGGTGCTTCACCTCAACAACTGCAACCGCCTGCTGCTGGTGAGGAGCAGGGGACACCCTGGGGTGGGCTGTATGTATCCCCTTGAAGGGGGTCTTGCTGCAGCCTGGAGGCTGTGATGTGGGCAGTGAGCTCTGTCCCTGAAGTCCCTGGTTTGGCTGTGCCTTGCAGAAGCTGGGCACCTTCGGTCCCCTGCGGTGCCAGGAGATGTATGCCCTGGACAGGCTGCTGCGGGAGTCCCAGGTGCTGGAGATCGTGTGCCAGCTGACAGAGGAGCGCGCAGGAGCAGCCACCTCAGCTGCTGATGGTAAACAAAGACAGCTGAGGGGACCCCTCTGTGCCATCCTGGAGGCTGTGTGAAGCCTGTGTCCCCTCATGGGCATGGCTGGGCAGCAATGAACCATGCCAGACAGAGGGCAGGAGTCACCTGCCTGATGCCATGGCCTCGGGGAGGTCTGACAGTGCCTGTCCCCACAGTGGTGCAGTTCTCAACACGGAAGGAGGGCGTGCTGCCCCTTTGGGACCTCTGTGTGGAAGTGCCCAACATCTACACCTGCCCTGTGGAGCGGTTCCTGCAGGTGCTCAGTGCCCAGTATGCAGCTCCCATCAGCGAGCAGCACCCCGGTTTGGCTGATATTGGTGAGTGCATGCCCAGGGATGTTTGGGGAGTTGCCAGCCTCGCTCAGTGACCATGAGTGGGAGGATATGGGTGCCAGGAGCTCCACAGAGGAGTGACCATGGCTGCTGCACATTGTGATCCTGATTCTTTCCCACAGTGTGTGTGAAACTGGTGGAGGACGTGCTGAACCGGCGGCTGCCCCGGCGGCCCGGCAGTGCCCAGAGCGAGCAGGTCACCATCTTCCAGTACTGGAGCCACTTTGAGTCACTCGGTGCCCTCGTGCTTGACACCTACATGATGGAGCTGGCAGAGGAAGGTGGGTGTCCTCTCACCCTCCTTAAGTCCTGGGATGGGGTGCCAGAGTATCACCATAGTGATTGATCACCCTGCAGCAGTGCCGTGACCATTCTGGAGCATCACCAAGAGGCTCAGCCATCCTTGGGATGGGCAAGTCAGTCTGATTTAGAGTGCAGCCCGGTCCCATACTCCCTTTTGAAATCCTTGCTGTAGGTCCCCCAGTGTCTTGGGAGCAATTCCATGCATTGGCACCTTATGTGGGGCCCACTCTGCCCAGCATGGATCCGAGGTGCCCGGGGATGGGTGGCAGGGGTGTGGGGGCAGTGCTGTATGAGTCCCCACACCTTGGATGGCTTCCTGCAGCACTGCTGGCACAGAACCTCAACTCGGACGACCAGGACGTGGTGCTGCGTGCCCTGAAGCGCATGCCCGAGGGCCGCCTGAAGAAGGAGGGACTGAAGGCGCTGAGCCTGCTCCTCGTGGAGGGCAACAGCAAGGTGGTGAGCGCTGTGTCAGCCCAGCTCCGCAGCCTGGCAGAAAACCCCCGCTTCCGCCAACGGGTACGTGCTGGGCCAGCCAGGCATGACGTGGGCTGGTGCCACAGCCCCCGGGGTGCTGCCCCTGCTCTGCTACAGATGGTGGCACTGACTCCCTCATCTCCCCCAGGCCCTCGTGTGTTTCTTGGAGCAGCTGGAGGATGAGGAGGTGCAGACACGTGTGGCAGGGTGTGCGGCGCTGGGCTGCTTGAAGGTGAGGGATGTGGGGAGGAGGCAGCAGGGCTGCATTTTCCAGGGAAAGAGGAAAACACAGTGAGGAGGAAAAGAAAGAGGATGAGGGGCTTTTCTGCACCATAGGGCTGCAGCACCATCTGCTACCTTCCCCATCTGGCTCTGTTCCTGCTCCAGCCTTGACAGCCAAAACTCATTTCCTTGTCCCTTCTCCTGCAGGCCAAGGAGAGCATCGAGCAGTTGGTTTACCTGTGCCAAACCGACAAAGAGCCTGTGCGGGAGGCAGCCAAGCAGAGCCTGATGCTGTGTGGTGAGTGTTTTGCTGCTTCTCTGCTTGCTCCCCACCCACAGCATCCCAAGTGGCATCTCCTGGTGCCAGCAGTGCCCACGGGAGATGGGGCTCCATGGCTACCCCACGCACTCTGGTTCATTATGCCCCGAGCTCTGCCAGGCAAGAACAAGCTGGCAGCGAGGGCCAGGCATCCTGCAGGCACAGCACTAAGCCTGGTTGTTATTTATTATTTGCTAGATGGCCCTGAGAGAACCATCTGAGTGTGTTTCTAGGCCTCCAGATCGTGGCAGCTGCTGCACAGGTTGGGACACGTGAGCTGTCCTCGTATCCCTTGTCCCTGCTCCGGCTGCTTTGCTCACGAATGTCTCTGTCTTAGAGCCTGTCAGCTGTGTCACGTTTTGGAGTCTGTGTGTCTTGGTTGTTGATAGTGCACATCCCACTGGCACCCCGACACATGTAGATGCCTTGTGTCCTATGTCCCAGCAGATTGTCCAATGTCACCATCTCTTGCTGGGGATGGCCGCTGCGGGCAGATTTGCAGGCAGAGCTCAGAGTGAGCCTGTAGCATGGATGTGTGCATCCTTGTGTGTGCCTGAGGGTTCTTGGGGAGCCCTTGTGACCCCCATGCCAGTGCATGCAGATGTGCACAGCTGTTGGAGCCACCGGAGCTGGCACAGCCCTGAGCATTGCCACCTTGGCCCCAAGTGAGGCTCTCCACAAGCCAGCAGTCCTGCAGCTGAAACACAGGTTAACCCTGTCCCGCGTGGGCAGATGAGAACGGGATTTGCAACTTCTGAATCGGGAGCTCTGGGGACTTTTTGATCCAGATCCCAGCTGGGACCTGCCCAGGGGTGTGCTATAGAGAACAAGAGAGGTTTCCATGCTGTGGCCATAGCACGCAGGCTCAGCTCTACCAGGCATTAGGCCAGGATAGGTGGCCAGGGACTGGCAGGGGACAAAACTTCTGCAGTTTGTATCACTGACCGTGGCATGTACTTGCAGGGGAAGATGGTAAATCAGCTCACCGGCGACTGGAGGAGACCCTGGATAGCCTCCCGCGGATCTTTGCACCAGCCAGCATGGCCAGTACAGCTTTCTGAGACCCACGCACACCCGCCTGCCACCCCTGAGGGCAAAGGCACTGCTGGGCCACCCGGGCTTGCACGGACTGGGGACCCGGCAGCTCCGCTCCCGGCAGCACACCACAGTATTACCCCGCCTGCTGGCAGCTCGCCATGGCTGCACACTGCCTTACGGAGCACCGCTTCCCTGTCCCTGGCCACCGGCCCCACGGGTGTCACCTCCACACCACTGGGCAGGGGGCTCGCTGCACATCCCACCCTCTGATCGCTATTTAAAGTACCCAGGGAGTCCACCCTTCCTGCCCCCCTCGTCCACTCCAGCTGCCAGGACTGGGGTGGCGGGAGAGGTACTGGATTGCTCTGCCTCCTCTTGCCTTCCTCTCGCTCGAGGGCACGCGCCCTGTCCCGGAAGGACCTGCACTTTGGAAACCTTGCTGTTTCTTTCCAGGAGCTGCCAGGGCCATGGGGACTGCTGCCCTCTGCCACCTGCAGTCCCCGGGACTTAAATAAAATGAAATATAAGATATTAATATATTCTGCTGGCGTTTCTTCTTTCCAGCTCCACGTGCTCCTGTCCCTCCCTGGCTTGTGGCTGTAGGGGGTGTAGTGAGATGTGGCCTCAGCCCAGAGCCTTTCCTGGCCTGTTGGAAAGTGCTGTGGAGGGCAGGGGCAGGAGGAGCGATAGAGGGATGGACAGACGGATGGACAGAAGCTGCCACCTTTTTGTTTGTTTTGTTTTATTTTATTTTTTATTTACAGATTTTTGCAGAAAAACAAAAGCAAAAAATTCTTTTCTATATTGTCTCTATAAATCTATATATAATGTAATTACAGAGAATGACTAATTTTGATTTTAAAGCAGAAATAAAAACCTTTAAAGAGTGTCGGTGTCGCTGTAAGGGTGGTTTTTTTGGTCCCAGCGCCCTGGGGCAGGGCAAGCTGGGTGTCAGCATAGCTGCCTGGAGGATGACAGGGGATGTCATGGGAAATAATTGTGATTTCTGGCCCTGCAACTCAGCCAAATGTTGCCAAAATTTGGCTGCTCAGCATGGGATGCATCACCCAAGGTAATAGGAGGTGGCCACACAGGGTGGGGGCCACCAAAACCAGGGCTGCCCTGGAAATGGAAACAGCCCTTCCTGTGTGTGTGTCTGTGTGTGTGTGTAAATCCATACATTCCCCATCTCCAGCTGCTGTTGGTTATCTAGGCCCTGACTTCCAGTTTGGACCAGTAAGGACCCATGTCTAGCACTGGAAGCAGATTACAGCAGCTGTGGTGACCAGACCATGTTCCCAAATGTTCCCACACCGGATGGGTGTGACAGGGAATGCTAAACCACCCTTTGAGCTACTCTGCCTAACTGGCTGTGCCTTGTCCCAGGATATCCGCTGTCCCCACCTCGCTGTGTGAGGGACACACCACTGGGCTGGGAGGGAGGCTGCTCTCTGTGTCCCCCTTTGCTGCTTGTCCCTCACCAGATTCCCTGAGGCTGGAGGTTTTTGGAGATTTTTGTGCCCCTCCTGTGCAGCTCCTCAGCACCAACAAGCTCCTGGATTTTCAGAAGCTTGCTGAGAAGGAAGCACTGCTTCCTCTGGCTCTCCCAGGAACTCTGCCCTCTTGGTGGCTGTGACAGCAAGGTGCAGCAGCATGGTGGGGCCACCTCCCTGACACTCCCAACATGATTGGTTCTCACTGCTTTTATTAAATTTCCTGAGTTCAGTGGCCTTGGCAGCATCTGGCTGGTGACATGGAGCCTTCTGCCCCACCAAGGAGGAGGTGACAACAGGCACGGCAGAGTGCTGGGTCCTGTGCCACCTCCGGATTGGGCTGGGCAGAGAGGAGGGATCCTGGATATTTCTGCCTGCATCATGAAGCAGGGCTGCTGGGGCCCTTGCCCCTATATCCTGCATGGTGTCATTGTGGGGCTGGGGGGACTCCAGAACTGCTCCCCCTCTGTCTGTGATGTGTCTCTGTGGTTTCACTTGTAATTTTTTTAAGCTTGTATCATTTGCCTTCCTCTTCTCAAACCCTGCCCATCACCTTCTGCTGGTTTAAATCCCCAAACATCCACCGTGATGGTGTGTACCTGGGCAAGAATAACTCCATGCAGCAGTTCCTGATGGGGGCCAACCTGCTGGGAAGCAGCTCTGCAGAGAAGGACCAGGGAGTCTCAGTGGACAAGAAGCTGTCCCTTAGCCAGCAGTGTGCCCTGGGAACCAAGAAGGCCACTGGTATCCTGGGATGCATTAGGAAGAGCATTGGCAGCAGGACAAGATCCTGCCCCTCCATATCTGAGGCCATATCTCAAATGCTGTGTCCAGTTCTGGGTTCCTCAGTACAAGAGAAACATGGAGTTCTTGGAGCAGATCCAACAGAGGGATACAAAGATGATTAAGGAATTGGAACATCTCTCTTACAATGAAAGACTGAGGGAGCTGGAGCTGTTCAGCCTCCAGAAGTTACAACAGAGAAGGGTCCTCATCAATGTCTGTCAGTATCTGCAGGGAGGGTGCCAGAGGATGGATCAGTCTCTGCTCAGTGATGCTCAGCAACAGGACAAGAGGCAATGGGCAGAAACTAATGCACGGGAAGTTCCACATGAAAATGAGGAAGAAAAACTTCACTGTGTGGGTGACCACACAAAGGAACAGGTTGCCCAGAGAGGGTGTGTAGTCTCCCTCACTGGAGGTATTAAAAAACCATCTGGACACAATTCTGTCCAATGCCCTCTAGGATGACCCCTTGAGCAGGGAGGTTGGACCAGATGACCCATAGTGGTTCCTTCCAACCTTACTGTTCTGTGATTCTTTATCCCCCAATCAGGCATGGACAAGAACCCCCTTCCCAAGCATTCATTTTTCCAGCTCTCAGGACAGCTGCTCCAATCCTTTAATCATCTTAGTGGCCCGTATGGTCCTGGGAGGGGAGTAGTTCAGAGCAGCAAAGATGCCCCCAAAAGCAGCAGTGACAGGGACATCCCCAGCCCTGCCAGTCACCCATGCCAGAGCAGGGGCACTGCCATCACCAGCAGAGCACGGGATTTACAGCTCCCAGGCCAAGCAAGACCCATCCATCAGTGCTTCCCAGGGTTTATAAGTACATACCAAGAGGCTGCAGCCTTCACTTTCTCCTTCCTCACTGTAGCAGAGCTTTCTGGGGCTGGCTCAGGCAGAATGTAGCATGTTGTGGTGCATGTGGTCCCATCTGGGACACCCCTTCAGCATGACCACTTCTGGATGCAGTTTTATCTGCAGATGGGATTGCAGGGAGGGCTAACCAGGGACATTGCTGTATCACTCATCCCTTAGCCTTCTTCCACCTGCTTAGGGGGCTGGATGAGCTCCAGAAGGGAAGCACAGTGCTTTTCCCAAAGCACTGCATCACACTGTCAGCTTGAGCAGCAAGAGATGAGGGATGTAGGTCCCAGCTGGCACATGCAACTGCAGACAAGAGCACCTGAGAGGTAGAAAGTGTTCCAGCCCTCCCACACATTTGGTTTGGTTTCTTTTCCCCTTGCAATAACTGCTGAAAAAAAACAGCCCAGTGTTCCAGTGGCCAAAGCCATGAATTTAATTCATTCACCTACCTGGGTGTTCTCCTTGCCCTGCCAAAACCTTGTCCCCTCCCTGCAGCACAATTCCACTTTCCAAGATAAGCTACACCTTGACTGAAGAAATCAGAGCAGGAAAGCGGACTTCTGTCAGGGTAGGCAGGGAGCTGCAGGCCAGGACAAAATGACTCTGCTCCTGGAATTGCAAGGAATAATCCCATTATTTATGTGGCTGTAAGAACATGTGGGAAAAAAAAAACCTCAAACAGATTAACTTAATAAGAATCTATTGCCCAGCCCCTTGCTGTGAATGGGTTTGTGCTGGCACTGCCAAAGACCTGTGCCTTATGGACACCACCAGGTCACCTGGAATTGCAGGACTGCCATTTCCACAGCACTGAACCTCACACAAAGGCCTTGATTTTTGGACCTCTCAGCTTCATGGGTGAACTCCCTGGGAGCCACTTTCACACCCAGGGACAGACCCAGCAGTGCAGAGCACGTTTTGCGGCAGCATTTGTTATTTCAAAGGAGACAGTGTGCCAGCACTGCTTTTGTCAGCCAAATCTGTGTCAGCACTTAAAACATCCCCCTCCCGCACGGACGTGCTTGTGCTCAGCAGCTACTTGCTTTTCTTGCAGGAGCTGCAGCCCGTGGGAGGTGTCTGTGTCACAGTTACATTATCCATGTGCTCTGGCTTGGGGAAGATGTTCCTTTTCCCTGCTTACTGTTGGTTTTGCTTTTTTTCCTTTTTAATTGGAAGGGTGCATACGGATTTTGGAGCACTCTGCAGGGTGGCTTTTTACCTGCCAGTCTTGGGAAAGTGTCCTGAGGAGCCCCTGAAGACCATCAGCACAATGTTCCCTCCTCTTGCACAGCATCCAGGCTGGTGCAGCTGCCTGGGTTTGACACTAAGAGCAGCCACCAGCCAGGATGACCCCAAGGAGACACTGCCACTTTGTGGCACTACAAGCTCCAATCAGCCCTTGTGTTAGAAATCACTTACATCTTGATGCAAAGTCATTTTTGGAGGTTGCAGTTTATGACTCTCCAGTCTGAGCAATCTTAAAGTTGGACCTCCCACCTTTTCCCAGGCTTATGGAAAATCATGTTTCCAAGGCACTCACTGGAGCACTTAGAGATGACTGGAACAGCTAAGCAGCCTGAGCTGAACCACAGCAAAGCAGCAGCCTCCTCATGAGCACTGACGTGTTCCTTGCAGGGCTGTCGGGCACATCTGTATGGGCTTGCTCTCCAAGGAGCACTCCTGGGGCAACAGCTGGGGCCTTGTTTCACAGAGAGACCAAATGGTGCTCTAGGCAGCCTTCAAAACTTAATTTAATGCTCTCAAGCTCGACTACTGCCTTCCTTAGAGCTGACTTAGAGTGGTGACTCCTGGGGGATTGTGAAGGTGATGGAAGCTCGGAGCTGAAATGAGGAGGGTGAGCCCACCCGAGGCCTCAGCAAGGTGGTCGGGACCTCCTTGGCCTCAGTTCTTTCCCTTGTGCTCATGGGCAAGGTGTCTCTGGGAAAGGCCTCGCTCAGGCAACTTTTCTAGAAGGTGCATCTGCCTCTGGGTGTCTCATTTGGACAGGCTCAGAGACCGATACTGAGGATTTGAATTCCCTGCAAATCAGCTCAAAAGCGCCTCCAAGTGAGGAAACCCAGGATCAGTAGGGCAGACCCCCAGCACCCGCTGTTCGAAGGCCCGAGACTCTCCTGGCAGGAAAAGTCCATGAATTGGTGCTTGCCAGGACAAAAACCTTCTGCTTCCTAAACAGCGACATTCCTACTAGGAAGATGCGACCGTTTGCCGTGGAATGGCTCAAACAAAAGGCAGAGGAATCATTAGCAACCATTTACACCCTGCCCTGGGTGAGTAGTTAAAGCAGGGTAAGAGGCAGTTTCACACACAGCCACTGCTCCTCTCCATTTTGATTCGTGCCTGAGCTAAATTTTGAGCTTAAAGCAGATTCATGGCTACAGACGAAAGATATGCCATTCTCCCAAAAACTGCAGCGTGAGAATTGATGGCTTGACAGCTTAGAATGTACGTGATTTTTTAAAAACTCGCACCACAGAAATGTTCTGAGCAGATTCTTCGTGCTGTGCTAGCTTAATTTCCTTCTACACCAACTCATCCAGTGGCTAAACGGAAGGCAATGGATGCGGGGATTTTCTTATTTTAACAAAGCTTTTGATTGTCCAACATTGGACTCAAAAATCCCTGTGAGGTTCCTTCAAATTCGGGATATTGTTTCGATTATTCAAATTTCTCATGCAATGAAAACCACGGAGCTCACAGTTGTGGACTACACCACCTCTTGAATT